CGCGTTTGCGGCGCGTCAGATGCTTAAACGCTCCCGACGCGCTGCTTCAGCTGCTCAAAACGCGCTGCGGGACCTTTTGCTGCACCTATACGCGTGTCAGCCATTGACTTTGCATGTAAACTTGCTGCTTCTGCCGCGCCTGCTGCGTCCGGTGTGAACGCAGCATTAGAACAGACATACCTCAGCATTTTTTTTTCCTCCACACTCTTGTTAAAGATAGGCTCAATGTCTGCACCTTCACTCTCTATCTCCAGTTCTTTCTCCTGGAAAGAGATCACTCAGGACAAACTCTCTTTAAATAAAAACATCATAACTTATATGTATTAAATAACCAGGAGATGTGAGGACAGATTCTGATAGAAATTGTAATCTTACTCAGATCAGAGAAATTTCTTAGAATTTACAGAAGGCAGCTGCTCCCTTCTGGGCCCACATCTCAGGAAGTGGTCCTGATTAACAGTTAAAAATGTATTTTATCCATCTCCAGTCTGCAACATCATCTTATTTTACATCATACACGTTAGCAGATGATTAGACATCCACACTGGAAAAAATCTAAATCTAGATGAGTAATTTTTTCTTAAAAGAAGTGAATATGTTCTTGGATTAAGGGGGTAAAAGAGACATTTTGCCAATAGAACAAGACAATTTACACTTAAAATAAGAAAACACAATCGCATTGTCTTATTTCAAGTGCATATTATCTAATTATCTTATTTTAAGAGTAAAATTGCTCATTCCATTGGCAGACTATCTGATTTACCTAGTCAAGTTAAGGGTAAATACACTGATGAAGGTTCTCAGTCATCCAGGTCGAAGGGTAAATACACTTAATTTAAGGAATTTTTTACTTATTTCTAGATCGTTTTTTCCAGTCCATGGCTCCAGCCTTATCAAAATATTACACTTCGTTCTTAGCTGAAGGATCTCATTCCACTTCCTAATCTTTGCCACGTACAGAGTGAAGGTTATAACTGCATATCCAGACAGAGGGACTGTCCTGATCAGTTCAGACACGCAGCAGGCAGCCAGGGAGCCATAAACTCACACATCTTCAATGATAATTATCAGCAATTCCCCCTGAAACCTGACTTTCTCAATGTCACCTTTAAGCAAACTTATTGTTTGCTAATGACCAGGATATTAATCATAGAAGAAACTTTAAGTGCTGTTTCTTTTAACATCATAGAAACATGGAATAAATTAATCAGGGATCAAAGGTAATGACAATCAAAATGTTTGATGATTATCTTAACTCTTCTTCTGTCTTCATCCCTCAGGAGGATCAGGGAAGGTTCTCCTTATGGTCACCTACCAAACTGGAGGCTTCTGTCGGTCATTGTGAAGTGCGGCGATGACCTGAGGCAGGAGCTGCTCGCCTACCAGGTGCTGCAGCAGCTGAAGGTACGTCGGGTCTTTGGCGCCGCCTCTCTTAGCTTCTGTTTCTCTGAGTCCTCATGTCTTCCCGCTCCTCCTCCCTGCAGTCCATCTGGGAGCAGGAGCGCGTTCCTCTCTGGATCAAGCCCTATAAGATCCTGGTCCTGTCCCACGACAGCGGGATGATCGAGCCCGTGGTGAACGCCGTGTCCATCCACCAGGTGAAGAAGCAGAGCCAGCTGTCTCTGCTCGACTACTTCCTGCAGGAACACGGCGCTCAGACCACGGAGGAGTTCCTCACCGCTCAGAGGAACTTCGTCCAAAGCTGCGCCGGTTACAGCCTCATCTGCTACCTGCTGCAGGTCAAAGACAGGTGAGGGCCGCTCGCCGTTCACGCCGCTCGCTGCCTTCGGAAACCCAGCTGCAGATTCTGTCCTCTGTCCTCTCAGGCACAACGGGAACATCCTGCTGGACGCCGAAGGACACATCATCCACATCGACTTCGGCTTCATCCTGTCCAGCTCTCCCAGGAACCTCGGCTTCGAGACGTCCGCCTTCAAACTGACGGCGGAGTTTGTGGATGTGAGTCGGATCAGACCTGAAGGTTCTGTCTGCAGGAGGCGGACGAGTAGACAGAGAAAAGGTTGAGGAACATCTCCCAGATTAGAGCGCTGCTGCTTCTGAACAAACTAAACCCTCAGTAACGTCTCTCAGGCAGGAGTTTCCATCGTCTCTTCCCTGTCAAGTGAATTTAAACCCTCATCTTTGTCTAACAGGAATGGTTTGGTTTCTTTTGAATGCGAACGATTCCGATTCCTTGTTTCGATTCCAAGTCCTGTCGATTAAGAATCATAAAATCGTAATAAATTAGTTCTATCTGGATGAATTAGTCTGAACTTCTGGATGTAATTTAATTCCTTGAAACATCTAGTTTTGTGGGAACTTTACTAAAAATAGTATTTTCTACCAGTATATTAATATGCAAACTACTAACTCTAACAGTTTTATTTACATTTTCATAAACAGGGTTCCCACAGGTCCTTAAAAAGCCTTAAAAGGCATTGAATTCTTCAAAATAAAACTAAGGCCTTAATTGGTATTAAAATGAAGAATTCAATGCCTTTTAAGGCTTTTTAAGGACCTGTGGGAACCCT